CCATTGGCCAATATTGTCACAATGTACGCGATTGAGTGAATGCTTGTTTTTATGATCAAGAAACATGAGGATATTGGATGCAGTTGGATCAAATAATGAGCGATTGATTAAGGACGCATTGTGCAGTGGATGGTCAGGCAAGGGGGTGAGGTAATGCTCGCAAGAAAACAAACGTACCTCGGTTCGATGACTTGCCACGATCAAGAAGTGAAACCCACACAAACAAGATCGATAACACTGCCTGATGAATCCTGTGAAGAACACCAAACACATGATGTGGATTTCACTCCTTGGCCCTGCCGAGTGATTAAACAGCGAGAGATTTTTTTGGTGAGGAGAGTTACTTCATTCATGTGTCTGTCCATCCACCGCACAATGTTTTCATCATCACTCACTCAGTATTTGATCCAACTGCATGCGCTATCCCCCGCGTTTGTTCATTATAAAAACACGCAAGCACGCACTCAATCAAGTACATTGTGACAATAATTACCAATGCACACAAATACAAATCGATGTAACCGTATCACTAACCCATACACACAAATTCATGACGCTAGCCAATCGGTGTACTCGACCATGTGAAGTTCGCCCACCAGCTTTGGATAATGGGATTCCGACGCAGAATCGAACAAACCTGGACATGTTACATACGAATGCAGTAAGCGGTCGCGTACGTTCGTTCCCTGAAGCGGATTCTGCAAATCCTATAGTGAGTTCTTCCCCCAACCTCAAACCCGTAACTGTGGAATTTTGATGGAGCCTATTCAACTTTTAGCGTACACCAAGTGTTCGTTATTTCTGTTCTCCAGATTCGCAGTGATATTCATAAGACTTATGGGAAGCTGTTTGAATTTTTTTCTCCACTTGACGGAGATTTCCAATAATCAACCAACCTTAGAAACAGGATGAATGCCTAAAGTGAGCGAGAAGGAAACCGGACGTGCGCATTCTTTTGATTGTATTGAATGAATGGTGTGATGTAGACGAGCAGTGCCATTAAGCGTTTTTGATTTCTCCAATTGGTTTCAGCTGAGCTCGTAGTTATTTGATATTTTTGTGGCACCGTGATTTCTGTGTGTGTGACTCCCTTTCACGAAGAGATCACACTCAATGCCCTCAATTACCCTAAGCGATTCGGGGTTTATTGACCTTTGACCTTCATCACATAACTTCTCTTTCTCGTGCGACTGGGCATCCTCACGATCACAAGGTGACGGGAGATGGAGCGGGGGTCACAAAGCATGGTCCACATAGCATGGTGACTGTGATCCTTGATATGCAGTCGGGATGACCTGGTCTCTCCTTAGACAAAGAAATTTACTTGTTAATTCAATTAACAAACGAGAATGAAATGTTTTGGTTCTACTATTAGACTGTAACCCGATCTCAGATGTTCAATATCGTTGAATGTGTTTATATTCCGTTTACCGCTGTAAAGAGGTCATACAGATTGGAGTATGCCTTTAAGCGCGGGTGCAAGCTGTGTTGACTCTGTTGATGCTATCGGCATCGGATCAGGTGGTCTACCAGTTTATGCTAGACAGGCTAAATGGCAACCTTGTGTGCTGAATCCGTAAACATCACTCGGAGTTCCGCCAGAGAAAGTTTGTGCTTAACAGCTAGATTCATCTACACCCGAGTTTACTGTGTGTATATCATCGGCAAGTGGTCATGGCTGGCATTGAGCTTTACCAATACAGCCCATTCATGACGTGCCTTGTAGTAGTCACGAGTATCGAACGTGGCTGGAATACGAAATCGCACTAGCACTTGTACACCGGAATCCGCCGTCACCGAAACTCAGATAAAAACCCGCAACATTAGCGAGTCATTTACCGAAAGACATCCATTACATTGCGTATTGTGTACACAGGAATTTCAATGGTTATGCCAGTATCCACCATCGGACTACTTGTATTCTTATGGGTATAATGTCTGGACCACACGACTTCCATTCCATCCGCCTTTTGGTTAGCTGTCCAGAAACTGTTAGGCGTAGGCGCTTCGTGGATGGCGTTATCCCGTGGGTAAGGACTACCAGCCTTGTGAGTAACGATTGATTGTTGGTGCAGTGGCACTGTAGAAAGTTTTCGAAACAATGTCTATTATTTTTATTATTCCTATATTCCACACCCGCCCTCTCGTTCCATCTCATGACCCTGTAGTGACTCCGCTCTAACTCATTTTATGTCACGTTTTTGTTTCGCTGAACATTGGCTTGCGTTGCTTCCACACACATCCAACTTGCTTGTCCAGATGCACCCTGCGACGCTATTCTATTTTACTTTCAAATAAGGTGTTTCTTGCAGGTCTCATATTACGCCCTCGATTTGGTTGATGTGGTTTGTTGAGATCGCCTGGTCGTATTGGAGAATCGTTGAAACGCGTGAGGATTGTGGTGGGACCATTCATTCATTTGGGACAAAACAATCGGGGTCGCACGTGGACGGAGCCGATGCTACCTTCACAAACAACGCGTCTCGTTCAGGAACCTCGTGAGTTAAAGTTACCCGTTTATTTTCCGGTAGCCGTGATAATTTGGGTCAGTTGAGTGTTGTGTAGGCACCTTCCAGAAATTATCCATGATTATTTAATAATATGTTTGCGGTAGCTAGATGCGATAGTGTGGCACCAACTTTTGTCAAACAAGTCTCACACTCGGTATCTAAGGCCATATTTACGGTAGGGATCAATGAGTATAATTATTCATATATCAGTGGTGGGCTTAGAGCAATTGGGTTAAAATAACCATACAACAGAGCCTAACGCACTTACGGCGAAGTGAATTCTCACTAGAAAATTAAACGGGAATGCGCAGCCAATATTATAAAAAAATGATTTATATAAGGAAGACTCTGAGGAAACATCTGTTCAATGTTGATAAACTACCAGTGAGAGTTCAAGTGTATGCCGGGTGAGTTCGACAATAATGTTGTTCATATTCATGCTGCTCGCAGTAGTAAAACGCCAACTGTGGAAATGTTGAATTAGCATTTAAATTTCACGAACGCGAAAGTCGGAAACGCATCTTCCCAGGGTTTGGTTCAGCGTTCATTACGCGTGCAGTTCATGTGCGAAAAATCAATAGTTTCACTTAGTATTTGACTCATCATCGTAATCTAACAGTGTTTGTATTGATGTCAAACGGATGGTTTTCAACCAGAGATGACGCGCTACCTTCAGGTTACTCGCATCTCTGTGGTTGAGCACCTCTGTAGTTTTCGTGACTTTTCACCTTAGTTTGCAATCTAATGATTTTTTATTTCTAGACTGTCGATGTTTTGCACTTCTCCATCGGTCACCACATTCATTCACCACATTCACCGTTGACTGTTCGCACTTTATGAATGTTGTTAGTGCGACTATAATTGAGAAACGATCAACCGTTAACTGTAGGTTTATGATCAGCTGTTTTATTCCCTATTTTGAAGCGAAAAATTGCGATTGTGCAAAGTTAATGAAAATAGAACGCATGTTTGCCATTTTATCTGTGGGCAGACTATTCGTTTCATTCATATTTTTTAGTACAGCACAGCTTGGAGAGCGTCAATAGTAGATAAGAGCGAAAGACGTGCGCGAGCTTTTAGACATATCTGGCATGTGAAGAATATCGTTTTAGTCGTATGGACCCTGACGGACTGTGGTAAGCATATTTAGGACAGGCTTTTTATTGATACGCAAGCTGCGGTTGGAAATGTAAAATCATTTTATCCATGTCAATATTCTTTTACGAAGAGATAAAAAAGCAGATTTAGAAAAGGCTGGTATTTCACTATAATACTGGGCTATATACCGAACAGAATTATGGACGCAAGCTACCAATAGAGATAAAGGATGTGTTCTCCGTAGTTGGCATAAACCTCACTTCTTACTAGGTCCAATAAAGTCACTACGTATGGCGGGACCGAAACCACCAGCTCACCGAGAACCTATAACTATTATATTTGTTATGCTCCCTGCCCAACATTTGACTTGCCATTGCTATCATTGTTATTGCTAACACGTGTGCCTACAACAAACTGTGACGCAATATGTTATCTCTATTTCAGACCGTTCTGCTGTTAATATTATTACGGACAAGGAGAACTCCGTAAACTCGTAACTCGCGCAAACTGTAAATCCCCGGTTTGTCATTATTTTTATATTGTTACCTTGTAGTGTGTTACCAAATGAATTATACTGCCTAAAACCTCTTCTGCCTTCACGCCACAAGTGACGTCGCGGGCACAAACGACCAAGAAACAAAATGGCAGGGATCCAGAAGAGAAGCTCGAGCGGGCTGAAGACATGAACTCAGAACCTAGCGCCGCAACTGTCGTCAGCGAAATGATCGGCCAATTTTTGTCGAAAATTATCACCGGCGACTCGTTCCGACTGGAGAAAGTTCCACCAATCTCGCCACCCGAAAAGTTCACTGTGGGCGTAAATTATGCTCTTTTGGAACTGCAGGTGCGTGCTTACGTGTAGAAGTTTCCCGAGTCGGAAAGTAAAGTGGTAATTTAAGGCCTGTTGGCCGGTGAATCGGCTGATAGGGTCTTTCAGTCGCGTACATTCGACGAGGAGGATCTCAATGGGATTTTTCAAAAACTGCAATGCTTCTTTGATAATCCACTTCACCCAATCCAATACCAGTCAAAATTCCACTCGGCTCGCCAGAACATCGGAGAGACCGTAGAGTCATATGCGTATCGCGTCAAGCAACTGGTGTCAAAGGCTTTTCCAGAGGACACCAGCGAAGCTAAAGATAGGCGTGCTGTGGAACGTTTTGTAGGAGTCAGTGGTGCTTCAGTGAAGAAAGCGCTGATTACAAAATTGCCTAAAAGCCTCAGCGAAGCTTTTGCTCTGGCAGGAGAAACGGAGAGGCTACAATGAGTTCTTCATGGAGCAAAGAGCCTCTGCGTGGCCGTGCATCACCAATGATGTCAGCAGCGAGAACCAATCCGGAGACCGTGGGGGCCAAGGTTTCATCAAGGATCGACTAGCGGTAGATACCGCTACAAAGAAAACGACTATCGGCGGCGATGCAACGCTCAAAACGATACCTCAACCCCTCCAAGCGGGNCGGTGGCCAGAAGAGACCCAGCGGACCATGGTGAGTATATTGTTCCTATGGTGCACACCGCTCACGAAAATTTACGTTTGATATTGACTTGCTGGTCGAAGCGTGACCAATAAAAGGACTATCTCTCGTTTTGAACATCCATTTAAGTTGCCAATGTCAAAGAGATTTATTCATTCA